ACTATTGAGTATATTACAATGTCAGTTAAACATGTACTATTGAGTTTATTACAATGTCAGTAAAACATGTACTATTGAGTATATTAAAATGTAAGTCCATTGCTTTTTGTCGCACTTCGCTTGCTGGTTTTTATATTAGTTATAATACATTAACGTTACAAAAAAGAACATCACATCAACGGTCAATGATCAGTTTTGTGCTGTTTTTTGTACTCAATATTACATTATCTTTGAATGATACAATAACATTAATAATACTCCATGTTTTATCTCAGCTATGTCCATCACTGGTCAAACATATACTGCCCCACCTCCCACACTTGCAGCTTTCCTTGTGGGAGATGCCATTGGATTTGTACCAAAACCATGGCCGCGAGCCAAGTTCAAAGAAGCTCTGGCCGATACTCTCCACGTGTTTGGAGGTATTTTACAGGTTTACTATTACTATAAAACTAGCAAAACTAGCAAAACTAAAACTATTTGATAAGAAAGTTAAGGTATATCGGTAAAACGAATAATGTACGTTAAAAGAGGATTTTCCATTATTTATATCATTTCAAGCATCTTATCATGGTACATGTAAACATTTTGTTATGATATAAAAAAGCAGAATATAGAGAGTACGATTTAGGGAGATCTTATTGTGTTTGGTACTCTCTTCCAACTGCTATCACGAAGGTTTTAAGATACACTAGAGTAGTGCGGAAATATTTGTAGAAGTCAGTGAAATTTTATTTGATCCAACTAACCACGTGAATAGCATAACGGATTGCACACATTGTTAAAATTATTTGTCATTTATCTTTGAAATTCACTATTCAAAGCGAGGCATTAATGAAAGTTTCAATAGTGCCGACGATAACTTTCTAGAGGAGAATCGGTAACTTGTTGCCTCTATCTTTGTGGAATTTTGTCATATCTTTTATTTGATTTTTCGGTCTCAGTATCCGTATTGCTGTATGTATCTTTTTATCATGACCATATTTTTAATTGATCTTATCCTTAGATCCCTGGATGATATGCGAGTGTAAAGAACCGCCAACACTTCACCAGGAAACTGCGGACGAACAGAGTTGGTTAGCTGTCACTAAAATGTCCATGGAAGTCAGGAATGAATTTAATGAAATGCGAAATAGCAGGCATAAATCGGAACCATGTAAAGCATGCAAGGAAATGAAAAAGGAGAGCATTGTAGATGTGATGTCAGAGAAATGGGAAAATGCCAAAAAAGAGGACGATCACAATACGTTTTGCCTGATAGGAATCACTGTAAGCATATATCATCAATTTGTTGATGTATTTAAATAAGGTCTAGGAATTCTCTGTAGGAATTATTTGATATCTGACACTTTTGAGAGGAAAGAGAGAGAGATTACTAAAATGTCAAAAAAATATTTTTTAACTGAAAATCGCAAAAATATGGCAAAATATGCACAAAAGAGATAATTACATGTCATCACATCTCAAAGCGAGAAAAAGTGAAAACCAAACAGCAGGAAACTTAATTGAGCATGTCAAACAAGAACTGTACAAAAATCGCCAGAGGACTAAACTCACCTTTCACACCATTAAACATTGGAATCTTAGTCTCAAAAAATTATTAACGTAATATCATTATATAATTAAAGTATAACGTGTACCAGATATCATATTAGCAATGTTACCTCACGTATAAAGCGCTAAAGTCATACCAGCGGGAAAAAATCTGACATTTGGTAGTGTACGGATTGTTCGACATCATTGGTTAATCATTGGTTTTAGTAAATGAAAGAATGAATAAATATATTTTATTATTAGGAGGAAGAAAAGATGCCAGAGGTACTGTCGGAAAAAAGGGTACTACCTGACAGGTTTCAGCAAATACTTCAAGAAGTGAAAAAGAAAAAGTGTGAAACAGTACACGACACAATGTTATACTTGGAAGAAGAACTGTCTCAAACTATGACTACGTCATTGAAATTGAACGACAATGTAGGAAAGGAATTTAGTAAGTATACAAAGCCATGTTACTATATCACAATACTCAGTGATATCTTTAAAACATCGAGCGAAGAACAATATGGCATTAAAAGTTTTCTGTTCAATATTCTGTAATGCGTCAAAGAATAAGACAGCAATCAACTTGAAACCTAATAATTTTCGCCCTTAACTAGAGCGGCTACCAGCTCCTTAGTGTTATACCTGGTGTTATTTTACTTTTTTCATCCTCTCTGTCAAATAAATTTGTGACATTTACAAATGCTTATTAGTCGTATAATAAACTGCAATAAGTGATTATCATTAATGAATTATAGTGAAGTTTCAATATCAGTCTTCAAAAGTACAAGTATAATTGCATGAAGTGAACTACAAGAGCCTGTAATGATAAGTACACATTTTCAAAAAACAAAAAACAAAAATATTATACTGAGTACGAAGAAATTATTCTAAATCTTACTTTGTCTTGTTGGTTGATTGATATTAAAAATGTCATCTACTGGACTGTTACTCTGTATACATTTCTTGTCTGTGGATATGAACAGGTCTGTGTTATAATCAAGAACATGTAAACTAACTAAAGTTAATGCATTGATCTACTCAGCTGCATATACATCTCCATACATGTATACAGGAGTTATATTAACATTAGATAATATATAGCAAGAATATGACGAAGATTGCTAGTAGAAACTCCCTATTATAACTAGTGTAGGTATGATTTTATATGAAAAAATCTTCTTTATATCAGATACGGACATTTTTTAATTTCTGTTATAACTATCCTTGTTAGCCCTACGGAGGGTTCAAATGAACATTCAAAACGTTGTCTCAAAATGCTTTCGATATTGAGAAAAATGGAAGGAAACACACATGTCTTTTGTTTACAATTACGTTTGTTTTCAATTTTAATTTACATGTATCTAGTATCAGGAACTAAATGCATAGGACCTACATTCTCACAGAATTTACTCGATATATATTATGCTCGTCCGTAAATTCTCAATGTACTGTTTAGCATACAATATTTGAGTTTCTAGAATAGTTATTGTATATCTATGATTCTATAGTGTTTATTTCCCGCTTGTACTGGACAGTGATCCTTTTTTTCCCGCCATAAGTATTCTTCTTTGCACAATTTACTATTGTTGGCATGCTATTAATGACATCCAGCTGCACGCCAAAGCAATGGGGGATTGTGATATTATGTGTCTATGAGTCTCTTCTCATTATTTGTTTCAATGCTCTCAGAAATGAAAATACCAACCATTGTTGTGGTGGTTGAGGGTGATCTTGACACAATTAACCACGTGGCCAGAGCTGTACAGAAAAACATTCCAGTACTGTTGGTGCGAGGATCTGGAATGGCCGCGGACCTGATTGGATACTGTTCAGAGTAAGATTTGTTACCTGCTCTAAATATATAAATTGTATGTTAAAAGGATGAGTAGCAATGCTTAGGCCTTTTTCTAAGATGTTCAGTATGTTATATTCTGTAGACTGTTAACACGCAGAACGTGTTTATGGGTCAATG